GCGATTTTGCTTAAAATTTACTACTGATTTACTGAGTTGAAGAAAAACAAATGCAAACAACAAAAAAAACAACAATTTGTTTGTATGATTGTTACCAGAAAAAAATAATTAATAGTTTAATTTCGACACTCAGAATTCTAAAGTTTTTGTTTATTGCAAAAAAACATGTAAACAGGAAATACGCAAAAGAACGTCAATTGTGATATTACTGAAACAAAAATAAAATTTATTACATTGAGATTTAGACAAAAATGACAACACTTTGAATGCTATTGATTCTTTGAAATTAAAGAATATGACAAAACTTTCTCAAAATGATATTTGATTTTACATGTTTTAACTTAGTGTTAGGCCACAGAGAATTTCTTCGTTTTCTGTAGAGATGGAACAATTCATTATATAACAGTTATTATATCTCCATATACAGTGAGTTAACAAACAATTATTAGTTTTCAGGAAGTTTTCACTGAACATTGATTTAATATAATAATATATAACAATATTTAACAATATTTAAATAACAGTTCAAAATTATACTTTCTTCAAACTACGATACTCTTCACTAAAAAGTTAACCGTTTGCAATACATTTCTATTACTTAGCTCGATGTAGTATAATTTTTCATGTGCTTTTTAGGAATTGTTTTAACACCAAGCGGATACATTTTTACACAAATTTAGTCGGCATTAGCGTACCCGAATATTATATTGCCAAAACTTTAACTTAAAAAAAATCGCACACGAACATTCTAACTATTTGTTCTCCATAAATTTGCTATCTTCCTTAATGTTGATCTCCTAGTGAATCTTCAAAATCCGTCGTTCAATCCGATGTTTAGTAAAAAAATCAGTTTTTTTTTTGTTCAAAGCCAAAGTTTTGTTTATTCATAAAGATCATGACTTAAATTGGCCTTTTAAAATTTGTAACAGCCACAAAGTTCGCCCGTCTTAGAATATTTTTATTTCATTGATTTTTCGAAAAGAACTGATTGACCGTATTTAAGATTCCTAATTTACATGATTTTTTATGGCAGCGAAACCTCTTGGCTGTTTTTCTTTAGACTCTACTAAACCATCCCTAGCAGAAGTGTAGATTAGCATGAGCACTTAAAAATGCCCAGAATGTTCAAGAAAAATCTAATTTGAGCACAAAGCATTTCGAAAACTGACTGTTGGTCACAAATCTTTTCATAAACTTTTTGTATTAACTTTAAAATTTGAATGTGCTGAGCAAACCTCAGATCGAGCACACACGAAAACTTAACTCATAAACGGTTATTTTTTTTACAATTATTTCTTCTAAGTTTGAAACTCACAAACATACGTAAATCAGGACGAGCAAAGTATCCTAAAACTTCCTATTAAGATCAGCACTTCTTGAGAAAACCTATGAGAACTACAAGGAGTGTTGCGCGCAGCGATAAAGATTCCATAATACTCTAGAAAATATTGCTAATAAAAATGCTTCTATATTGAAACATTATGTACCTGCAATGATTACGGGTAGCATTCTATACATTTTTAGTTTTAGATGGCCCAACTAAAGAAGCTAAAAGGGAATAAGTCGTTAATTTAGTACCAGAAATGGTGTTTTTGGTACGAAGGACACACATAGTTCTGATTATATCTTGCTGGATTTACTTGGAATAAAGCAACATTCCTTGATTTTCATGGACAACTTCTTCAGAAGTGCATCTAAGAATAAAAAAACTCAGTCCTCGTAGAAAAAGTAACCAAACGTTCTAAAATTCGGTCGCCGTCTGGGCTTAAAATCATCATGTAAGACGTTCAAAGTCAATATTTCAAATCTGAACAGAGTTGGTATTTTTATTGCTTCCAGGTACAACTATTCAGGCATTTGCATAGTCTATCGTTACGATGGCATCTAAACCGTAAAACTGGAGAAGTGCTGAGAATAATGGACAGAGGAACTGAGAGTATCAACAGCTTGCTACAGTTGATATTATTTTCACTTGTGCCAACAATTATTGATTTGCTGATAGCAATCATATATTTTTTCACTGTGTTCGATTATAAGTTTGGAATAATCGTCAGCGTCACAATGATTCTCTATACGAGTAAGTGTATTCTTTTCTTTTTCTTCATTTAATAGTTCTTTTAATATCGACCTGCTTTCCTTGCAGTTTTTACAATATCTATTAACGAATGGAGATCAAAGTTCAGAAGACGTATGAATTTGGCCGACAATGAGACTCGTGCAAGAAGTGTAGATTCACTGCTCAATTTTGAAACTGTTAAATATTACGGTGCTGAAGAATACGAGGTTGATGCCTACAAAACAGCGATTTTGAAATATCAGGTAGGTGTCTCTCGAAGGAAAGTTTTCCATTTTGCTAACTATTTAAAAATTACAATTAACACAGACAAAACAAATTACAAAGTTATAGATGTACCTACTTATACCAAAGTGAACTTTATACTTGCTTTCATTAAAAGCGTTGTGTTTCTAGGTTGAGGAATGGAAAACCACAATTACGATGAACATGATGAGTTCAGCTCAGAATTTGATTGCAAATTCGGGACTTCTGGCTGGAAGTTTACTTTGTGCTTATTATGTGGTGAACACAAACGAATACAATGTTGGTGACTATGTCTTGTTTGCTACTTACATAGTTCAATTATATGGTCCGTTGAATATGTTTGGAATGCAATATAGGTAAGTCCCATGTGAAATATATATCTGATCGATACATTTTAATGCATTAATCCGAAAATACTGGAAATTATTTTCTACTACCGCATGTCGTCACAACGGAGACCTAATCTATGACATTTTCATCGCATTCTTAGAAGAATTATATCTTATAGAGTATGTAAATGAAAAGATAATTTTCGTTATTTAATAACGCACAAATACAGAATGTTTCATAAATATACCGACCAAATTTGTAGAGGACGTAGGGAATATCAAAGCAAGAATATTTGAGTCGCAAACATCTGTCAGAAAACACAGAGTTTGCAATATACATGGTGTTGCAATGAGAACTTTTACGTTGGTTTTTAGTTCCAACTTTTTCACATTTTAAGAGATTTAACTCTCACTTATTAAATTATCTCTCTAGAATCTACATCGTCCAGTGGAAAACGATCGTCAATATATATATCTGTATACAGGGTGTCCCGTAAGCATATGATCAAAAGGGTACTGCGATATTCTTTGGACCAAAAGAAGACGATCTGACCTAACTTTTATAAACAAAAAATGTCTGGCTCCTCTGCTTTGATGGTCAAAGTTCTTCAAAAAAATTATCTTTTTTGAAATATCGGGAGAATGGTACGATGTATTTTAGTAAAACTCGCTGTGAATTTGTTCTTATGTAAGACTCATATTTTGGTGAAACAATCGAGTTCAGCCGTTTTGGACAAGTGGTGAATTCTTGAGTGTCGTGGTACAAAAACTATCAGAACTTTTTATTTGGTGGATGGAATCAACTCATTTTTTTAGGTTAATGCACTAATCATTTTTTAACAATTTCGTCCTCTGTAAAATCTTGTAGCATTCATAGGTTTTGCGTAAAAAATATGTCTGTTTTCTAGTCACTTAGCAATGCTAGACATTTACTGCAAATATCAACCTAAAAAAATGAGTTGATTTCATCGTCCAACTAAAAATTTTTTGAATAATTTTGACGATCAATAGCAGAGGAGCCAGACATTTTTTATTAATAAAAGTTAGGTCAGATCGTCTTATTTTGGTCCAAAGAATATCGCAGTGCCCTTTTGATCATAAGCTTACGGGACACCCTGTATATTGACGACCGCTTTCGAGTTATTTGCAAAATGGCTAATTAGCCCACGCCAAATATAATTTTGTTAAAATTAGAACAATGTCATTTTGTCTTTTAGCACAAATAAATTAAAAGGCACTTTTAATTAGTGAGTCGCTAAGCTCATTAACTGCCGAAAAAAAAACGGTTAGAAGACAGATTTCCCTTAGCGAAAATTTTTCTTTTTTCGTAAGCAGATTTTATATTTAACGTCCTGTACCGCGAAAAATAAAAAATAAAGTACGAAATACGTGTTTTAATGTCTGTTACAACCGCTAAAATGTTCTGGGTATATTTATGGAACATCCTGTACAGCTCTTTTGGATTATCACATTAAGTGGACGCAAACAATAACAATTTTTATGGAATCATCCGAAACGCAAATTATGCGGAATAAATCAGGTGACATTTGAATTTGAGAAGAAAGCGTGAAAAATAAAGTTTAATCTGCTTTCGTTCATGTAAAACTCATGGCCAAAAGAAGAGTTTAAGTCAATTAAAAACTTTCTAGTACATTGATTGAAGGACTTATTGCGTCCTAATGTCTGCGGTCAAGCACTGTTTCTCACTAATAATATTAAAATTTTATTGTTCGCCAAGCATTTTTCCTCCACCTTTTTAATGGCTTCCGATTTAATGAGATAATAATAAAAATCTTCTAAACTCGTGTACTTATTTGAATATCCCCCATGTAAAATCACTTTAATGAAATAAATAGTTAGCTTTTGCGGCATGTAGAACCTTTAAGATGGTTTTGAATTGATTTATTAAAAAGGTTATTATATTTTGATTGCTTCCTTGAAAAAAGATCCGTATTATTTAATATTGTTATAGTGGGTAGATACAAGTTCGGCTTTTCTGCATAATTTTGACAAAATATGAACATTATTGCTTTGGCAATAACTGTGGAAATTAAACCGTAGTTGTACCGTTTTTTTTGAGCAACCGTAATCTGGTTTATGATTATGATATCATAATTATGCCGCATGATTTATGTTTCCGGGATCAACTATAAAAAACTGTTAATATTGCCAATTGCATTCTCAGCATTCATTACAATAAAACTATCTTGATCGACTGGATTTGATTCTAAGTTTAAGTTTATTAAAATCGAATAAGTTGTTGTACCTATATGTTACAGCCAGTTAATTGATTACACTTACAAAGTTCCCCATATTTATCAAGATTGGTTCGTCATGAGATTAGGATGCAGAATTTGCCCACCCGAAGTGGGTCTCAAAGAAAATCTTTTAAATAAATGTGTGTTGCTTTATCATTTCTCAATCATTTCTTTGTAGCCTGTACGAAACTTTGCAATAAATAATAGTAACATTTTTTAAATTGTTTTGAAAACGAACCAAGGAAAAAGTCAAGTAGGAATATCAATTAGTACGAATAATTTTCAGGCAAATCCAAAATAACTTTGTCGATATGGAAAATATGTTCGACTTGCTACGTCAAGAGCAGGAAGTGGTTGATGCAAAAGATGCCCAAAAACTTCTCCCTAAAGGAGGTGGGATTGAATTCAACAATGTTAACTTTAACTACACACCCGAAAAAACTATACTCAAAAACGTCAGTTTTTCTGTGCCTCCCGGTAAAACAGTCGCATTGGTAAGAACTCGATAAGATTTTTTCATGTTTACTTTTAATTAAGTTTTGTTTCTGTTCTTTGCAGGTTGGACCATCTGGGAGTGGAAAAAGTACCATAATAAAGTTGCTATTCAGATTTTACGACGTTGATTCAGGATCAATTGTTATTGATGGCTATAATATAAAGAACCAAGTGACCCAAGAATCACTACGGGCTATTATAGGAGTGGTTCCACAAGACACAGTTTTATTTAACCAAACAATTAAGTACGTATTTGTATCATTTACATTATTTCATATTTATTAATCAATTTATTCACAATTAGCACAAAAAAGTTACAATTTAATGGATGAAATTGATACGTAATTTTATTTGGAAAGGTTGAATTAATGGTGGCCAATTTTTGTTTTTGAGCCACTCTGTGCAACAAAATTGGTGATTAGAAGTACCGCGGTTAAGAGGAAAAAGTTCCCTCTCCCAAAAAAACCTTCCTTAAATTTTAGATGAATTTGTTCCAGTCAATGATTTTTCCTTTATATACCTGAATGCCTACTGCCTAAAGGTAGAAGAAAGAAGTCGATCTTTAGATTAACGATTTTTTCAGATATAACATTCAATATGGCAGAATTACAGCCGAAGATGCGGAAATTATTGAAGCTGCAAAAGGTGCCGATATACACGACCGAATTGTAACATTCCCTCAGGCATATGATACTGTGGTAAGAATCTTCGGACTGGCCAAACGACCAAAATGTATTTTTTTACTGATTAATAAAAATTATATTATAGGTAGGTGAAAGGGGTTTAAGACTGAGCGGTGGAGAAAAACAGAGAGTTGCAATTGCGCGAACTCTTCTAAAAGCACCGACTGTAATACTCCTGGATGAGGCAACTAGTGCTTTAGATACCCACACAGAGAGGAATATTCAAGAGTCATTAAATAAAATGTGCGTTAATAGAACCAGTGTAGTAGTAGCACATCGACTATCTACGATAATCGGAGCCGATGAGATTTTAGTATTAAAAGATGGAGAAATAGTTGAACGAGGAAGGTTAGTTAAAATTCGATCAATTAAAATCTATTTTAATGTAAACAAATTATTTTTAATTCCTTAAAAATTCGTTTTCTAGACACGCGGATTTAGTGCTAAAGAAGGATGGCATATATGCTGGTATGTGGAAACAACAATTAGAAAGTAACAAGCTTACAATAGAGGAAATCCCACTTGATGATAGCGCTATTCAAAAGGCGCCTCCAAATCAGCCTAAAGAATTTGATGTTGCCAGAAATGACGACGGATTAAAATGAGAAAAGAAAACATATTCCAACAGATGCTTAATCTTGCGGATTGCTGTGATTATCTCAACAATGTACTTAGATATTTTAATAATACTTACCGATGTTTTTTAATAGCAGTTGCAAATATACATCAACTCAATTCGAACTGTTTTATTTATCCAAATCTGCAACAGTTAGTACTGTTTGAATCACAATATAGTGACTTTGAGGCACCTGCTGCTCAGCTCCGGACAGCTTGTGCCTGAAGTAGACCGAAAGCTTTATATCTTTCGGACCTAAGACCTAAGTTAATGTGGAGCTCTTGCCATCAATAATCTCAYCATAAGTTTCATTTAGATCATTGATAATGGTACTTTTAAGTGACACTAAGGATTGGGCAACAGTGTTTGTAGTGTGTGTATTATAATCATTTCAGAGTTAAATCTTTTYATTTTCGACTCAATTTTCTTGCCCAGTCACGTTTATATTCAATATTATCACTCATTGAAAACGAAACTATTWTCGTGCTTTTGTGTTTCGGCAGGTTAGTTAGATGATTTTGGTTCATTTATGTAAGAAATAGTTTTKTCTCCGTTTTCGGTTTTTTCATTCTCTGTTATCTATAGATATCTGAGGGTTCGTCTTAACAACTCTTACTGTGTAATAAATTGGATGATAATTTTCAATACACTTTGCTTACTTAAATTCGTTTGGAATGTTTTCCCTGCATGTTCAATTCCATTCTTTCCTTCCCAGATACTCGTTTTGTATATACAGGGTGACGCAAAGGAAAAATACGTTTAATGAATGGGTAGCAGTTTGAAAAGAAGAGGATGGGCGCAGTATCAAACTACAAATGAACAGCTCCACTACTGCAACGTTGGTCATGACATCGTGAACCATAAAGCATCTTGTGATTCTCGAACAATAGGATTGTTGCACATTTTTTTATTATTTGGTAAAATTGATTAATGACAAACCTATAAGGGTCCTACAATTTTTTTCCTTATTCTGCTTAGTCATGACGAATTTATTAGCACACAAAGCGCGCCGAAACGACGTGTTTTTGTCTAAGCCTTATGTGACATCGCAGGGTATGTTTCAGGTCCGCCAGGATCGGCGCTTATCCGTGTGGTCGTGCTCTAGTGTGAATTTAGACTTTCCCTTTGCTTGTTTCGCAATTATTCGAAAAATAAAATGGTTTATCGATACTGTATGGTGCCACAATGCACAAGTACCACTATGTCCACACCAGAAAAAACATGTATAAAAGTGCCATTAAACGAAAAGAAACGGGAATTGTGGTTGAAAGCAGCTCGGCGGGACTACACAGATATATAGGTCCAACGTTTCTATATATCTCGGAAACAGAGGCTTGTTGGGACATCGACTAAGAATACCTTTTTTGTACCAAATTAATAGGCGATTAGACACAACCAACGTAGAAGTCAGAATACCGGGTGACCAAAAAGTTGAAACCATTTTTTTGCCCAGATATCGCCGTAAGTGGTTTTTCCTACAAGTTGATCAAAATTTGATGATGGACTTGGATTTCTTATGCTCAAAAACCCCTGTATACCAAATTTCGTTAAAATTTGCAGCTCCGTTCAAAGTAGGATAACGAAAAACTTAAATTAAAATGTAACTTTGACGCCCTGTATGTCGGCAACCGTCAACTTTCGGACTAAGGTAAGTTCTGTTAAATCATCATATTTTCACCCCAGGAATCCACCATGTTGTTTTGTGTCATTACTTTTGGGACACCCTGTAGAATATCTATATACTATATAGAATATACTTCTGTAATAACGGTCTATTTTTTCTGTCTAAATTGACGGTTGTCATTTAAACTTGAAAAATCTTTAAAGCTCTATATTTCATAGAATGCTTAAGTAAAACATAGAATATGATATATGTTTGTAAAGGTAGGCTTTCAAGCTGAAGTTAAATATAGCAAAATATACAGAGTGTCCCATTTAAAAATATATATTTTCTATTCATAAATAGGAAAATATTTGCATATCGCAAATGAAATTTACATTATTATACTACGTGAAAAACTTCTTTGAAAATGTTTTCGAAGAAAGTTTTTTCTCGCTGTATCTCGGAAACTGTTAGAGATATTGACATGCGATTTCCGTCATTAATTTTGTCATAAAAATGGACGCTCAGACACCGACATCAGTTTTTGTTTATCCGGTATAGAAATGGGAGTTTCCATTTAAAAGTGTTCAATTTGGCCCACCCTGTACAGGTGCAACAGTAAGCTGATTTTGCGGTATTCCCTATCTTACTTGGGCCTCCTTTTTTCTATAATATTAGCGTTTTGCCACGTTACTGGTATTTTGCCTTGCATAGAAGGATTTTTTGCAATTTAAGGAAGTCAGCTCCCACAATTTTATGTATAAGTACTATAAATGTAGCAAAAAGTCGATCTTTTGATTAACGATGTTTTCAGATATAACATTCAATATGGCAGAATTACAGTCGAAGATGCGGAAATTATTGAAGCCGCAAAAGGAGCCGACATACACGACACAATTGTAACATTCCCTAAGCAACATGATGCTGTGGTAACAATCTTTGGACTAGCCAAACTTATTTTTTTTACTAATTAATGAAAATTGTTTTGTAGGTAGGTGCAAGGGGTTTAAAACTGAGTGGCGGCGAAAAGCAGAGTCGCAATTGCGCGAGATTTACTTAAAGCACCGCCTATAATACTCCTGGATGAGGTCACTAGTGCTTTAAATACCCACACAGAAAGAAATATTCAAAATACATTAAATGAAATGAGCGGCATAAGAACAACCGTAATAGTAGCGCATCGACTTTCCACCATTCGCGGAGCTGATGAGATTTTAGTATTAGAAGATGGAGAAATCGTTGAACGCGGAAAGTTCGTTAAAATTCAATCAATGAATATATATTTTGAATGTGAAATGTTTCACATGTATTTCACTTGTTTAAATATTATATTCCTAGGCACGATGATTTAGTGCTAAAGAAGGATGGCATACATGCTGATTTGTGGAAACAGCAATTAGAAAGTAACACGCTTGCAATAGGGAAAATCCCACCTGATGAAGTATGATGTACTTGAGTATGAAGTATGAAGTTGTCTTCAAACCAGCCCAAAATATCTGATTTTCCAGGACTGACTGTGAAATAAAAATATAATAAAAAACATATTCAAATAAATACTAATTCTTGCGGATTAATGTGCTTATCTGAGCCATGTACTTAGATATTTTACTAGTACTTTCTTATGTATTTTATTAGTATTTTCAAATATACGTCATCTGAATTTGAAATATTTTATTTATCCAAATCAGCAGCAGTAATTACAATTTTCGACCCACGATACTCCGAGGTTTGAGCAGCTACTGCTTTTCTTCGCACAGCTTGCCTCTTAAGAAGGTCAGCATCTTTCGGGTCCGACTCAATTATAACGGAATTTCCACAATCCATAATCTCAGTATAAGTTTCTTTTAGATCATTCATAATGGTAGTGACAGGAGGCATTAAGCCGGGGTGTCGTTCTGCAATAAGGATAACAATAAACATTACAATACTATGTTATAGGAGATTTATACGGAAGTAAAAAGTTTGCCAAATGAATGAGCATGTGTAGAAAGTACCATGCTTGTTTTTTTGTGTTTTTTACCAAAAATTTAAATTCGCAACTTATGTACTTATTATCTTAACCTTGGCACTTACAAAATAATAGAAACGAGTTTCTATTACGAAATACTACCACTACTTTACAAGAGTTACTTTACTTGCAAATACTGCCATTTTCGTCGCATACGTCGTACACGTCTTGTCTAGAGTGTCAACTGCTTCGCTTTTTAACACTTTTTCAAGATCAGATAATATAGCTGAAAACTGTCGAGAAGCTCCAATAGCAGTTAGCGTAGTATCATTACCATTTTTCGAAGTTAAATCTGAAATAAATATATGTGAATATTATGGAAAAGAAAATTTTTGTATCAATAATTTTTATTTCAAATACATCTAGGATAATTTAAACCAAAACGTTTTAAAATAAAATAAACATAAAATATTTGCTGCTATTTGCTCTTCATAGACTTCTTTCAATTATAAGAAATAGGCCAAATACAACAAAGTTATGCAGAAAAGCGCTAATATATTTTACGCTAATTAGATTTAATAAACGTTTGCCTATTTATGAAGGACCTATATATTGTTATTCATAAATTTCAGTTAACAATAATATAATATTAGTAGCTAAGTGTAAAAAATATAACTTTTCGGTAACGATTTCTGATATTGATTATCTGTTAATAAACGCGCACTTGTTTCCCAACAAACCTGCTTTTCATCTTCAGCAGTGGGCGTTTTAAGAATATTTTTAAAGGACTCTAACTAAAGTCCGAAATTTAAACATTTGCAAAATTGACTTGTTTGGCACGAACGTAATGGCTATTGCATAGGCGTGAGAAGCTGCACGGGGACCGATTCAGATCATTTTCTGGTTTTGACCAGAATATTCACAGTAAAGAATTAGCGAACCAGTCGTCGCTCTCCTCAGTGGAATAGAGAAAAGCTTCAGCAGACAGCGGTAAAAACACAGTATTAGGAAGAATTAGAGCGACTTATCAGAAAAACACTAACTACAGATGAGCTAAAGCGTAATTTTAAAATCACTGTTATAACTGTGAATGTGATTTTTTTAAGTGTGAATTTAACCTGTGATGTGAGATTTCACTTGTGGATGCCTAGCAACTGGCTACACATTTTGTAAACCCATACTCTAAAAGTTCCAAAAACCTTTCTGAAAAAATTAAAATAGTAACAAAAACTATTGATTTACACAGAACGAAAAGCTCTGTAGCTCTTAATTCCTTGTGAACAAACTATATTTGATTTTAATTTTTGATCTGAAAAAAAACTTTATTTGAGTGAAAATATCACTTCGCTACTCTTCGCGAAAATTTTCAGAATTTATTAATATTGTGGATTGGAATATGTTGCATTCCATGTGCCGTTGAAAATTCGACGTACTAGTTTTGCAAGATAATTTTGTATACATTGCACTTTGAAGAATGATCATTTAATGCAGAAAATAAATTCCACAAAAAATAATTTTCCGTCGCTTAACAATACATAATAAACAATTTTAATTCGCAAAATGAAGAAGAGGGGAAAAATAACTCAATAACATTCTACCAAAAATTACCTTCTACAAAAACAGGATCCGCGCCCAGGACCGATAATATCTTAAAGACGGAAAATGGAGATCTAATAACTGACAAAGTAGACATATTGCAAACGTGGAAAAACTACTTCAATCATCTGATCAATGGCTGAACTGGTGAAGAAGGGGAAGCACTGGATCTGCTGACTGCGGAATAACCCAATGAGATCCCTTCTAAAGAGGCAATTGCAAAAGCAATAAAGAACTTAAAAAATAATAAAGCCTCTGGCGGAGACCTAATTATAACCGAACTTCTTAAATATGGTGCCGATACTATCATATCACAGCTACAAAACCTAGGTAGTAAGAACCAAAATCGAAACTCAGCTAATCGGGGCCAGTGGATCCAACTTCCTGCGGACATATTTCAACGATATAGAAGCGTTGAGCATAAGCGTCACAAGACTAAAAGAACTATTTTACGAAATAAAAAAAGCGGCATATATGGGATTTAAAGTTAACGAGGCGAAAACAATTTACATGTATACCTCAAGGCCAGGCAGAGCTAAGATAGGACAAAATGTGACGGCTGTGAAACCTGCACTCTTACGGTGCGATATGAGAAACTCATTCGAAGATTCGAGAGAAAAGTGCCGAGGAAAATTGGTTTGCAACTAACCTAATCAACAACATCGAAGGTGGGAAATTTACTGTTGAAGTCTTATCATTAAAGTATATTAGCTATCATTTTTACAAGGTTTTGATAAACTCGGGATCCTTCTTCATCGAGATCTATCGTCTAACTATTAACTATTTTTAGTTCCACAATAATCGGTGGTTTCTTTTTGTACTTTAACCCTTATACCCAATTTTACCAATGCATTATTTCAAGTTTTTGATGAGAATGGTCCTGTTCTTACATAATGGTGAAGGCTGTCCAACAAAATCGAATGCTTCATCTGTTTTCATTTTGGCATAAATATACAGTGCGTCGTATTGGCCCTGGTCCAACATTTTGTTTAACAATCTCTTGAGTGACCTGTGTTCTTCCAACGTTAACCGTATTGTAACATCTTTACTGAAATAATATGAAAAATTAAATTAAAAAATCTATTTAACCTTTATGATCTAAAGATACTTACCGTATGGGTTGTTTATAGAAAAAGGCATATAACAAATAAAATGCTCCTATTTGCACGTACACATTTTCCTGACTAAATAGGTAGTTTTTAACAACAGACAATGTGATTTCACATAATAGTTTTAGGTATTTCATATATGATTGTCCTCTAGAAAAAAACCACAATTCTATTGAAAAACAAATCCTCTAAATGGTTTGTTGAATAAAAACTGGGTGATTATTATACAATCTCAATTTAATAAATTTCTTTTGTTAATCGTATTTTTGTTGGGTGTTTCATTTAAAATAGGAAAGTTGGTAATGTGCCGATACATGACACACCCTGTATAAAAAGTTTGGTGTTCGACCAGTTTTTCGAACAAACCCCCATTTATTCTATTTGGCTGATACCCCCTGTATAAAGGAGCACCTTACTTTCAGGACTGATCATTTAGTTGTGACACTCCTAAAACAACCAACTCCTCCAGGCACACAAGTGGTTGTGACTCAACGTCAAAAGACGCACTTTTTCTATGTGTTTTAGCGCAATACATTTGATAATTCTTAATAACCTTAATAAAAATTATTGTAAATTAATGAGAAGCTTTCTATTTATTTTATTACTAAGTTTGTAGTACTCACGTATTGTAGATTTGTTTGATCATCTTAGGCTCGCATCGACTGTAGAGCCCTTTTTCAATTAGCAACTGTTGATCTTTGATTGTGAATAATTTTTTTTTATGAATATTTGAATGGTTGGTTGCCAATACATATACATATACAGGGCACAAAAATCGGAAAGAGCCATCAGTTTTATTTGTAAGGTGGACACTTTAACTGATTATTTTTAGCCTCCTGGTTTCAACCCCCTACGACGGGTAGATGCCACTCTTAGAATCTTAAATGGGAAGGGGGTCAAGTGGCACATCGTTTTAAAGGGTGTTCAATTCTCTTTACATTAGTTATTACTTTGTTGCTTTCTGTCCAGAGGTTTCCGAATAATCGCGTTTCAAAGTTGTAGAAACAATTAAACTTGCGTGCATTCAGATATTGGTTTTCAGGTTAGTGTTTACACAAAGGTCTCCTTGTAATACAAATTATTAGAAGAGCAGGACTGTTAAAATCGTTAAATAACAAGAAGAAACGTTCTAATGGTATAATTGCTTCCCAAAGGCTAAAGAACAAATACCTAGATTTTATAAAAATGCATCAAATACATAAATGGATATTTACATAAGATTTCAAATTACTTGTAATGCTACAAAGCGTATTTGTTTTGAAACAAGTAGCTTCACATTTCCAATATTGAGCAAGTGAGAATAAATCGCAGCATCAGCCCAATTGTTAATTGTAATATTAGTTCGAGAAGAAGAGAAGTACTAATTCTACAGCTAATAACTGTATAAATATAACCAATTATCCAGCACTTACGCAAATATCAAAGTAAAATTATTGTTTTGCCAAATGGTAGCAAAATCTGTATAATTCATTGACTTTTCCTTTTCCCATAAACTTATAAAGTTCTCGATGTCCAATGAAAAATTGTGGTATGCAGATCTCGCGTATAAGACACAAGACGACACTTTTGAATGATTATTAGATTTTTCCATTATTCTATTTTAGTATTCTGTTAATGTTTACATCATGTTTACATTTCACTGCCTGTAAAAACTGAGGTTAGGAAATATGTGAGTTTTATAGCAGAGCTTATGGAAGGAATCTGAGCTTGCTGATATGCCTATGTTAAGAGTTTTTGTTTAGATGGCGCGCGGATACTTCATTACCTAGGAGAAACTGCACACGGACAGCATCGAACGTGATAATCACATGAAAAAGACTTGACACTGTACGTCAAAATCACCATTTTCGTAACGTCATATCGACGTTATGTGACGTAAAAATCTCACTTTTATGTCTGGTCTTAAAGTTAGGTTCAGCAAAACTTATTCAACGGTTAAAATAATAGGTGTGATAAAAGTAAACGAAATAAAATAAATGTTTTAGAAAGCACATGTTGATTAGGTACACCGTTTAGACAATAGTTGCTTACAAAAGTAAACCGTAAAACATAATTTACGTCAGAATTTAAGTAAGGTTATAGCACACGTATATAAAAATGGTAAAAAACGAATCCATAATCATACAAGCTGTAAGCACAGTAATAAGAAAAAGGGTTTTTTGAACAGTTAAAGGCCAAAGCTACGCTGAAAGACTAGCAGGAAATAGCAATAAGAAATTCACAAATAATAAATTATGTATTAAACAACTTATTAGAAAAAACTATTAATAAACATTACAAATTGTAATGTTAGCATTTCTAGGAAATAGGTTTCTAGGTTCAACAAATTGATACAGACCAAATTTGTCAAATGTACATACGTAAGTTGTAAATATCTACTGATTTTTCATTGATAAATGTTTTCTTTTATGGGATTGACTAATGAATTACAAAGTAAATATGATTGCCTTTATATTAATTCGTCGTATTTTCGTCGTATTTCGTCGTTTCGATCGTATTATAGATCAGAGCTGCTTAATCTTTCCTTTGATATTTTGTTTATGAATTACATTGCTGATTTCAACATACTCTTGTTCCATTCATTTATAACTGAAATTATTTAGAAATTGTAAATATATTTTTGATAGGTAAAAATTTACAGATACTTTACTTAAGAAAGCTTACTTCAATTCAAAAGTTAGTTATTTTGGAATAAAGCTATACAAATTATTAAAAAACTAATTTATTTACTTAATCGTTTTTAGATCTGTTCAAGGAGACTTACGGATCATATACACTTGAACTGGTGAAAAGTAGAGCTACCAAATGTATCAATATATATATAAATGTATTTGATTCCAAAAACACAAATTGACTTTGGAACTTCTCTGATACATTATTTTATTTCTTTAAGGTCTCCTCGACAGCTGTAAGCTACTTACAGAGTGAGACCATATAACTACACGACGTATAATACATTGAATATTTGAACACAATTATAATATTTAGAAACATACACATATGGTTTGCCAGTCCAGTGTCCTCCAGAGCCCCAAACTCGCACAGGAGAAAAAAAAAATCTTCAGTGTCCCCCAACTCATTACAAGATCTCATAATTCTTAGAAGTTCAGAATGAAAGTATCCAATAAATAGGTGGGTAAAGCCCATGCGGACGGTAACTTTAGTATTTTAGAAAACGTCTCTGTACGGCTTCGAGGGCCTTAATTTTGAAAATATTTCCTTCATTTACAGAGTTAGAAACTAAAGTTATGATCAGTATCAGTGTATCAGTAACCCATGAACAAATGAGCAGAAGAAAAATTAAAATAAACCATTTCTTCCAGTAAGATCGAACTAATAATGACGGTTCCCGAAATAACCCATAAAAGTGACCAATTTTGACCTCCTCGTACAAATCCGAGCAATATGACGTTACAATCACGTATAAAATTTAAGATACTTCTGTAATAACATACCATGAATTGTTCAAGGTGTCATTATTACGTTTCTGTAACTCCAATATAATGCTGCAATGGATGGCTGTTCTGCATGTAGGCAAAATGAAAATATACTCGTACATTTGCAACGCACTAGTAACAAAGAACTGTTAATAAGCAATTACGTGATAATTATTATTACGAAACACAACCATTATAGAAAAATGAGACGGTTGACACTTGATGGTAATGACCTAAATTAAAAACAAACACGATTCAACAATTCTATTGTTCTGGTCCGCAAATTTTGGTTTCAAGAGTTAAATTGTACCAATTTCAATTCCGTTAATGTGAAATACTTACCTATGAGGTTTAACATCAATTGCGCTTCCACCGAAAAAGTCCACTTACCTTAGTTCCACAAATTGCCAAATGTTTTTTTTAAATAAACCTAAATTCATGCCTATAATAACGTTAAATTAACTTTTTCTTGTAATTGAGGGTTTTCCAATATCCTTTAAAAGCTTGTCCCACCCGCATTTAGTCCAAGTACGCATGGATGGCCTTGTTGACTAATAGAACATCGGATATGCATCAGCAACTAAGACTTTCCTTAAAAAATATTCATTATTTTTTTAAGTTCATGTTTAGCGTTATCAGGATGCAACCTCAAACATAAATATTGCCGGTTATTTTACTGGATTTTTTTATGTAAATTAGGCAAGACCAGTTTCTTAAACTGTCTAAAGTTTCGGAGATTTATTTCTGCATCTTAAGATCTATCAAAGTAAAAAGTTTCTTTATCTGTAAGTAAAAATACGCAAATATCTGTTACTAATCTAAATGTCTATAGCAAAAATTTTATTTTCCGATTGGACCCCAATCTCGCTGACTAAATGATGGAAAATATGAGATATTTTTTTGGTCAATCACTGTTTTAGAAAAAGTGCGTAAACCGTCAGTATCTTGAACTTCACTATTTTCTTTATATCGATCTCTTTTGTACAAAACGCTATCTTTCAGAAAAGTGACCGAAATCGATACGGGGGGACTCAAAAATTCACGAGTAAGTGTGATATTTCCTAATGAAGACCCTGCACTTTTAGCACATTTTTGTATATTTTCGGGACTTGTTAAAATTAAATATTCTTCTGTTCATTTTTTGTAGACGTAGAGCAACAATATAAATCATTAATTACCTTATATAATAAATAAGATGTGCAATATGTGCTTCAATCACCCTTAAGTCGTTGCGATTGGATAGCCAATGCCAGCCAACCAGTTTTTCTCGGACCATCATTTATTTTTTAAATTAGAAGCTGCACAGTTTATAAAAAATACCCGAAAGAGCGTATTTGTTACCAACTGCCTGTAGAAACACAATTTTTTTGTGTTTATCGCTAAGCCATTGGCTTGCACTGCTTTGCTGTCTGTAAATTATCGTATGCTTATAACGGTCATGATTTTATTAATCAGAAACTTTCGATTTTAGCATAAAAACCCAAGCGAGTTGTTGCTTCAACCTGCTCGTGGAATTAGAAAATAATTTTTGGTTGCAGTTAAGCCATTTGTGCGCACCCTTTTTCTATCTGGAAGGTACCAAATGTTAAATATAGTGATAACTTTCTCGGATGATCCAACGGTTTCCATTTCTGAAAATCAAAAAATATGCATTTCAGCAAGAAAATCCAAAAGATCATTTATGTACCCAATTAATATTGAACTAATAAATCATTTTTTAAGTTTTGTTTGCAGAAAATCGTTTTCCAAACCACACACGCAAATAGTTAACAGTTAATATTATTGCAATTAATAAACGTAAATAGCTTGGTTTCTATATTTATACTTACACTCGTTAAGTATGTGTTAACATTTTTATTTACCTACAAAGAAAATGCCGACGTGCCATTTGTGCTGTTCTAGTTAATTTCTTAAAAATTCTATCAGGTACCATAATCCTTGCACTTTTCATGATTATTTTGCAAGAAAGCTATATTTGTTTGACATTATTTTAATTTATTTTCGATATATAAAGTTCCAAAACTTTTCTTGCCACACCTCCATAATCCTCAGCAAACTTGTTAAGATTCTAAACTTCATTACCTACCAGCTGTGATTGGTGCAGTACGTAAGATAGCATTTTTCATTCGTTATGCGATAACAAGTCCTTAGGTGTTGCCCATCCTCTCTCTAAATTAATGCTCTTGCGAATGTGGATTGAAAATTGTTTTCCACCTCTGAAGGAAGTGGGCAAACTGATACCAAAGAAACTTGCTATAAAGATTCTACTCATGTGCGAATATTTAATGCGACTTATTTTAATTTCCTCATGTATGAGGAATGAGAAAATTGATGCATTCATCGTTCGGTTCTTCTGCTTCTTTTTAGGACATCTAAACTAATTTTATTTGCTTGTATCTTTTTAAGTTAAGCTTGGAAATGTTTTTACAGTCGTTTTACAAACATGGTCACAATTAACTGGCCTTAAATTTAAAACAAAATAGCGATTTAGTAACAGCCGCGACTATTCGAATTTTCACCTCACATATACATCAGCAATTAAACGAAGTAACTCTTATGATTAAACATTGCATGGGAAATAGCAAAACACAACCGGGTTGTGGATGTTGTTGAAGCTAATGTAATTCTATTATCGGATGGTCAATGCATATTTATTGCACATTTGGTTTCTCTAATTGTTAGTATTCAGAAAACGCGTAAAATGTTCATTCAAATATTTAAAATGTCCTTCCTTATAAAAACTAGCTACAGTCGATTTAATTTCCGTCGTAAACTCCGTAAACAGTTGATGAATTTAAGGATGGTCTTAGAAGTAAGTAGAAAATGAACTTTGCATTGAATGCATTGAAGTCAGCTGAAATTCTAGTATTGATTATTACAGTTTAAATATATATTCATGTTTAGACAAAAATATATTATTTTTTGCTTCTTCTGAAACTGGCTGCGTAAAAAAACTATCTCTACAATTTATTTGAATTTGCACCCGTCTGGTATTCAATAGCACATAACTTAACATTTTTTGATTGTCCGATTTTCGTGCAGACAAAATTAATTTAAAATCAATTTTTTTAAAGTTTTTCCAATTTCTGTTACCTGTTCAGGTATATTTTATAAAATATTTCAATCTTCAATTCAGATTTATCATCATTAGAGAATCGGTAATAT